TGTAAAGGAGGATATTAAGTGAACAAATCATGTGTTTGGTTCAGTTCAGTTTTGCAAATTTTTTCTAGTATATTTCATTTAATAAATACAGAGTCCTTCAAAAAGTTCATGATAATGTGTATTATGAAAAACTATGTATGGATTTTTAAAGACATTTTCCCCAAAAAAGTATTTTAATTCAATGTCTCCATGAACTTTTTGAAATGCCTTTATATAAGAGACTGGTAGCAAAATGTGATTTTTTCTGCCAAGAAGTAAACATTCTGGAAAAGGAAGAAATGTTATAAAATTAAAAACATGCAAAATTTCTATTAAATTTAACAATCAAAGTATGTTCACGTTCTGAAAGTGAAAAGGAATTAATACTGTTACAGAGATAGAGTAACATGGTGATGATGGAAATCCTAAAGAGGTGACTAAATGATGTTGATGAACCCGTGAAGATTTTCTGAGCAACAGCAGATGGAGAGAGAAATATATTCCAGAGAGGGAGAGATTATTGAAAATTCAGATTCACAGAGGAATGAAGCAGCATGTTGCCTCTCAGAACTGGGAAGCAGTTTGGTTTAGCTACAACGCAAGAAGAAAAAAATCTGACAGTTACAGGAGAACAAATATTAAAGACTGCTACATGCTCTGTTTATGTCCTGGACTTTGTTCTAAAAGGGAACTATTGAGAGGTGTTAAATAAGAAAAAGTTGCCATCAGACTTAAGTTTTACAAAATATCATGCCAGTGGGCACATAGAAGTTGATTAGAGGAGGACAAAGTGAGAGACTAGGAACAGACTGCATGTTTTTTGCAACCACTTAAACAGGAACTGAGAGCCTGCATCAAGGTGATAGCAGAGTACGAATAGAAAAGAGAGATAGATTTCAAATAGATTAAAAGTCCCAGTGATCAGTTAGGTATGATGGTGAAGGGGAAAGCAGACTCTGGGAGGCTGGAAATATGTGGTACCATTGATCATAGTAAACAACTCTTAAAAACAGGGAAGGTGAAGGAGTGGGAAAGTGGCGAGATAGATTTTGGCATGTTAAGGTGAAGGGCGTGGGAGACAGAGACCTTTAGGGAGAATTTAGCCCTGGAAATTAGCAGAGACCTTGTGTCTAACCATAGATTTAGGGGCCATCCCTATGGGGGAACATTTAAAACATTTGATGGTAAAGGGAGTAAGCTTAAGCTAAGAAGTGAAAAACAGAATCCTCCGGAACATCAGCTTCTAAGGAGAGGACAGTGAAGCAAGTCAGTAACTCATCGAGGATATGTGGGTAAGAGAGATGAGACAATCAGCAGACAAAAAAGAGCCCCCAGTGGTAAAGAGGGAAAAGGGTGAAAGCAGCCAAAGTTAGCAAAACCCATGGCAAGATCGAGTAAGATGAGGACATTGACATCTGTGAATTGAGTAATTAGGAGGTAATTGTTGACAGAGCAATTTTTGATGCAGTAATAGGACAAAGGATAGGTAGGAATCAAATTATGAAAGCCTGGTGAGTGGATAAGGGATGAGAGAATATAGATACATGTCTAAACCAATCTTTTAATGAACTTAGTTCATAAATATACAAATTCTTTGTTCAACATGAGGTGAAGCCATGTGTTGGCTAACTAGGTACTTCACTAAGTGGAGAAAGTCTCTTGTCCAAAGTTGTGGCAGATATTTAAATCCGTGAGGAGTAAGGAAATGATTTCAGTAAACCCTTTGGGGGTTTGAAAAGGTGTCCAAATATGAGGGACTAAAGCCAATTTGTCTGAAGGGGTGCCAAGGAGAAGATATCTAGAGAAGGAATTGGTAGACACACTCTAGACAAATGTGCAAGGGCAGATGTGGTATTTGTTTTTGAATATGTAGCTCAAGAGACTGATCAGTGGTGCAGGTTCACTTAGGAAATAAGGCTAATCAACATGTGGAGAGATGACAACATGGCCTCAGGGTGTCAGAACAGGTACATTAACAGTAGGGTAGTTTGACAGCTAAAAGAGAAGCAGGCAGTGGTTTTATATGTGTGAAGATTTCACAGGAAAGTGAGGTAACTGATGATTAAAGTCTGGGGTCTGGTCATGTGTGAGGATGACAGGATGGTGTAAAAAAAAAAAAAAGAATGTGTGGGTTGATGAAATTCTTTCTGTGGACACTGAAGTTATCTAGGATGGTGACAAAAGTTGGACCCAGAGGAAGAAACAAGTCTAAGACCCAATGAACATGACAGAGTGACCAAGTGATACAAATCATTAGTAAAAAATAAGAGGACATAAAAAACTAGAAAGGGTAAACTTGAACCTAGAAGGGAGTTTTGCACAAGTGTGGCATGTCATGGTAGAAGTGAGCATTGGGAAGAATATTCTCAGCTGCTCCTGGATCTGCTGTACATTTGGGAGAGCTGCTGCAAAAGTGTTAACCTGGAGTAGGGACAGGAAGGGGACAGTTCCATTTCAGTGGAAGCAGATAAGGAGAAAAGGTCAATATTACCATACCCACAAAACTGTGTGCTCCCAGAACTAAGGACCATCCTGTATTTTCTATTAGGACTACTGAATTAAGGATTTATAGGGAACCACAAAAGACAGTTGTACTGACTGATAGTATTTAATGTGATTAGGTCTTAAATAAGAAGTCATGAACATAAACATTTAAAACCAAATATATAATAAATAATCATTAAGTTATAAGGTACATAGTTCATATAAAAACTAAATTCTCAGATGCAGATATAAATGCAACAGAGCAATAATATAGAATAATAATGCTACAATTTTATGCAAGTGTCCCAAGAAGACACTTTTGACTAAAACAGTAAAGATCATGATTAATTTTTTTCTGAATTCTCATAACTCCCATATCCTACAACAATGTTTTTCGTCCTGCCTGCCCTCCAGCCTTCCTTCTTGCCTTCTTCCCTTGGAACATTCCCTTGATCCTGCAATTAGCATTGCTACAAACGCTATTGGAATAATGTTGAACAACATAACATCTGACTCAGTAGAAAGTTTTACTCAGAGTTGATGATCAGATGTTTTTAGAAGAGTATCATAAACTTTATAGACATATAGAGCTCTAAAAACTAAGAAAAAAAGAAAGAAAAACAGATATAGAATTTAAGTCCAGCACCCTACAGATTATCAAATGGAAATCTTTCAGGTCTCCAATATCACCATCTGTAGATGAGTAATAATGGGTTATCCTTTTGCCACTTTGAGGAACTGGCTAAGTCTTGAACACTGAGCAGCAAAGATGAAGCTGTTCACATCTTCAATCTTCATCTTGTTCATTCCAGTGCGTTACATTTCCTGCACTCCTAGTGAGCACTTCACCTAACTTTTTAAATTTTATTTAATGAAGGCTCCAATTCCTCATTAAGTTGTTTTTACTTTTAAGATAGAGACCTTGGGAAAGAGGACTATAACAGAGTTTTTTAAAAAAAAAAAAACAATAAGCACACCAAAATAAATACATTATTTTAAATAAAATATCACAATGTTAAGGAAGTGAGCAACTATAAAGCCATACAAGAAATACATTCTGTTTCTTTCCCGAGTCATCATCTGTGCTTGCTTTCTACTTTTAGCCCAGCAGCCTGTGCTTGCACCATTTGACAATTAAGTATATCATCACCATTAGATACATGCTTACATGATTCCTTTATAAGAACATATTGTAAATTTTTTAATCATTGAGATTTGACCATATGTTCAGTCTGTATTTGTTATAAAACACTTGAAGTAGATAAATTTTCTTCGCAGAGTATAAAACATTTCCCAACCCACATCTTATAGTGCCCTCAGAGTCATATTAACAATAACCAATTCTCAAATAGCTTATACCATTCTAACGAAAATTTTATTTTTCTAGAGTGTTTAAACTTCACATTTAAACAAACTCTGCTGGAGTTGATATGAAGCAGCAATTACAGCTGGTTGCTTGTTTTTACTAACCACGGTTGGAAAATGGGGATTATTTATAAAACTCTGTTTTTAATTGGGACAGGAGTGCTGGTCCCTTGGTTTGTAATCCGATTTTGATTTTTATAAATGAGTGAATATCTCTTATCAAAAACATACAAAGTATCTAAAATGCTATGTTTTGAAATTTCTTCATACTTGAATTTCATTTTAAAAATAATGGAATAAAAAGGAAGAAAGAAGACAGTCATTTTGAGTTATTGGCTCATTTATCATATAGCAATTCAAAAAGAGTTATGAAACTTTCTGAACTCAAGTTCCAGAAGATGATCTGACATATGTACCTCTATAGCTTTTAATGGCCATTTCTACAAGCTTAAAATGTTAGCTTATTCAGGGACAAGGAATTAAGAGAAGGTAATCCTAAACCAACTTATTCATACTCTATTACCACTTTTAAAAAGATTGGGACTAGCTATAAATACATTCATATTTATAGCACTTACATATTTTTAAAAGTCCACTAAAGAAGTTAAACATTTTTTATAAATATGTGGTAGAACCATTCCCCAATATGTAGTAAATTACATACTTAGATAATAGACATTCTGAGATAAAAAGTAAACTCTTCAGCGGTAAGGTCTAGACACTCAGTTTCCATTTCCTTAAAAAAATAAATATTTTGACCTTTCATTTTATATGTATCCTTATATATTTTCAACTTGAATGAAGTATATACCTTTTAAGGATAACCTTAATAAACCTCTGTCATATAGTTATTAAGATCAAGATTTTCTGCAAAATACTGTAAGATTTTTAGTTGAAAATTTTGACTTTTCCCAACCAAATAATGTCATACGTTTGGGAGCAAAATAAAGGGTTAATGTCAGAAATAATAGAAATCTATACCATAGAAATTAGACTAAACTTAGTGCAAAGTTTCTTTAAGTTGGCCAATCACAGAGAATGTGGATGGAATAAACTATTGCATAGTAAATTGAGGAAAATAATCCTGACTTTCTGCACTCCTGTGAGCTTTTCCCCATCACCAAAATATTGGACTCTTCCACTTGGAAAATCAAGAAGCGAGTCTCACAATGGTGTTAGAGTATGTAGTATAGTGTCCAGCTTCAGGTTAGACCCACAGGAATCTTCTTATTCCTGATGTTCAAGGAGATGTTCATGAATCATCTGTGGAAATAACACATTATTAATACCCCAAACAGAAGCAATTTTGAAACAAAAAAATGAAATAAAAAATAAACCATAATTTAAGGTGAGTACCTTTTGGAGAAGTGATTTCAGTCTTTCTAAGAATTCTTTGGGCTTTTTTTTCTCATATGAAGCACATGAGGGGCATGTCTAGAAATAAATGAAAAGCAACATATCTATTTAAAACCATTGTTCTCCATTGAATAAAATGATCATATATATTTTCCCCAGTTAAAGACATAGTTCATGTTCATTAGAGAATATTTGGGAAATACATATAATTATTCAGAAGGTAACAAGAGGAAAAAGCACTTGTAATCTCATATCCAGAGATAACCACTGCCACATTTTAATGTATATCCTTTTGGTGGTATTTTTTATTGTTTTGATTTCCTTTAAACTTATGTTACTTACCTGGATTGATAATCTGCTTTTTAAAAGTATATCTAACAGATTTAAAGCACCTCCTAAGTATTAAATGATTTTTCAAAAGTTTAAAATACAATGATTGTTTTTTATTTTAATATAGAATAAATCTAATACAAATTTTTACATACAATATGCTTCTAGCATTTTATTTCTGTATATAATATTGCAAAGAACAGCCCTATGAGCAATTTTTAAATATACATCTTCACTTGATTGGAACAAATTTTAGAACTACTAAATTAAAGGGATAGAGAAGTCTAAGGCATTTGAGGTAGAAATTGAAAAACAAAAGTTTTTACCTATTTTCACTTAGAACACCCTTATTATTATTAAGTGTTGTTAAAATTTTTAACCAGGGAGAGTGTTAATAGGACTGCATATGCTCTCCTTTGCCTCTTTTCTTGTATTCTTTTTATTCAAAAATTTTATTTAAAATATTGCTTTATATTCTTTATCCCTATTGTTGAAATAACAAACACTACACCCTGTCTTGGTATTTAGCATCTAATTGCTGGTTTGATGTTGTAGTGAAAGTGTTTGGCAAAACCGTTCCAGTTCTCATTCTGATATTGTTTGTGGAATGTAGGACAGGGTGCCTGACCTATGTGGTAAGCCTGGTTTGCCTTGTCTGTGCCTTGAAAAGGTGGAACCGGACAGTTTCATGGTTCCCTGCCAACACTGACTACTGCTTCAGCCTTTGACTTTAGCACTCAGCTCCTGTTTCTCTAAAGAGAGTTTCAGAAGAGTATTTTTCACATGCTGACCTGGCCAAGTAACCAAAGAAATAAGAATCATTTTAATAATATAATTAAACTTTCATTTGAATCACACGTAGAATTCCTAAGTTCCTTAGAGAAAGGAGAATTGATTTTTAAACAAAAGTATTTATGCTTTTCCACTGTTTTTGATTGATGCTTAAATTACTCATGATCATGAGTAATAACATTGCTTGTGAGTTTGCATAAGAACAGTTAGATAGGAAGGTACCAGAATCCCAAAAAACCACAGATTACTGCAATTCCCTGAGGCTAATGCAGTGTCTCAATTAGCTCATCCTCCCTCTCCAGTACCAGGATCCAATATGGGCACCAGTTAGTGTCCCAGATTCAGATGCTGTACTTCCCATCTAACTTTCTACTTGTGATCTGGGAAGGCAGCAGAGGATGGCCCAAAGCCTTGGGACCTTGTACCCTACTGGGACACCCACAAGAAGTTCCTGGCTCCTGGCTTCAAATCAGCTCAACTCTGGCCATTGAGGCCTCCTTTGGGGAGTGAACCAACAGATTAAAGATCTTTTTCTCTGACTCTCCTTCTGTCTGTAAATTTGTGTTTCCAATAAAAATAAAATAAATCTTGGAAGAAAGAAAGAGAACCGAAAGGAAGGAAAGGAAAGGAGAGGGGAGGGGAGGGGAGGAGAAGAAAAGGAAGGGAAGAGAAGAAGAAAGGAATAGAGGGAAGGAGGGAGGGAGAGAGAGAGAGAGAAAGAAAGAAAGTCCCCATCCTTGTAGAGCTGTCTACTTGGTCAAACTCTGCACTGTGCTACAGTATGTGCAACAAGAGTTGATAAGAAAGTCTGGGATTTATCTTGGTCTCTCATAAATTCTTGTCAGAAAACTAGAATCTAGCTCCTGTCCATAAGAATATAAGTTATATATGACCATTTAATGAAAGGAGAAATTTCCTAACTCCAAATTACAATTGGATTTATTCTCTCGTGAATTCTTTACCTTTGTAAGCAATATTACATAGTCTAAATTCCAAGATCTATTTCTGAGTTGTAATTGTGGTGCTGGGCACTTTTGACTCTGTGACTTAAAAGACATACAATTCTCAAAAGACATTGTTTATAATAAGACATAACTAAGGAAGTCATTGGAAGGTCAAGCTACATGTGTGAATCTAATGTGCATGTAATATAACAGTTAATAAGGTAATACACCTTAATAAAGTAATCATAAATAAGGTTATTAAGTAGAAATGAAATAATGCATGACAGTCTTACTGGTCTGTGTTTCTGTGGTTTTTTTAACTTTGTGCTGGGTGGTTTCCTTCTCAGCTGTTTAATTAATAAATTGATTCTTTTTCCATTGTCTTCTGCCTTTGCTGGCTTGAGTTGGGCCTTCTGAAAACATGAAAGAGCTGACAGCTCACAGCCGTTCTGAAAAAGAAATCATTTGTAAATGTTAGCAACCCTCATTGTGAAAAGTTTAAAAAGTCACCTTACTGTCCTATTTCTGTGGAATTGCAGTGCAAGATCACATTTGCTTCAGCAGACAAGTGAAGTTTGCTTCCACCTCCTGTTTCATCATTGGGCTGCAAGCAGAAGTGTCCTTGACAGGGAGGGATGTTTCTCTGCCACACAGAAGGCTACTCAACTTTTTCACAGTCCTTTATTCCTAAGTCATTTTCATGTCTAGACAGAACTTTTGTGTTTTACAAGGAAGAGATAGTTTGCTTTAAGAACCCATTTGCAGAATTATGAGGCTCTAAAAATTACTGTGATTGGTGTATTCTTTGGATAAATTATACTGTAGGCTAATTAAGAATCATTGTCAATTGTTGCTCTGTGTCTTTATATACAGAAGAGTAACTATCAAATACATGATTTGAACAACACGTTATTCTCTGTAGCATATGGCATGATGCCTTGTTAAGGGAGAGAATGCTCAGTATATGCTAAGTGAACAGAGGAAATGAGTTACATCCACTCTCCAACCTGACCCTTTTGGGTAAAGGAAGTGAGTACCTAACTGTTGGTATGTTCTAATATTCAATACACTGGTCATAGACCACACATGACTTTCCCACAATCCCATTCACAGTCAGGTCAGTTAGGGTTGTGTTCTGCTGCAACCAAGCTGTCGAGGAACAAAACATGAGACTCATCCAACTAATGTGAAGGAACACCATTTCTTAGATGGAAAAGCAAAGAAAGTTTCAAGAAATAAGCAAAAGGGCAGAACAAGGATCAAAAACTTGTCTTTTGGTTTGGTCAAATAATCACTGAGTGCTGAATAAGCCAGTGTCTTAACTGTCAAAATGAAAAAGTACTTCATTGTAAGAGCCAAATTAATACTGACTCATTGAAGACCTTTTATTGCTGATCTAATTGCTTATAAGCCCATTGTTGAGTCCAAGTTACTTTTCTCATTGAACCAGTGTGTATAAGTGATACTGTTTATTCCCTGAAATTCTGAGTATTTTCCTTTCATTAATCTGTGGGAGGGTTGCTACCTTATTACCAACTAGAAGTCTCATTACCTCCCAATTCCTGCAAGGATTGTTCTTTACACAACAAGCTCACCTGAATCTTCCTTCCCGTGGACAACTTGCTGAAAATAGCACTAGCGTGCTTTGCATTTTCCAACCCATATGCTTACCCAACACAAATGTTGATTAATAACATGCATATATAAGACACAAACCCATAGGGCTTGCTTTGCATACACAGCCGCAAGCCGAGAACCAGCTTATCTGGTTTCCTTATATCAGGGCAGCCTGCATCTCACAGGGCAAGGTGGTGTCCTTTCCATATGATTGCCAAAATGCTTATTTAATAGAAACTATTTATAAATGTTAATTATAGCACTTTTTTTTCCTTGAAAACCACATGTTCGTATTTGTTGAAATTTTTTTCTTTTCTCTTCTTTTTGACCACAACCGGCTTAACTTACTGGAAAAAAATAATATTCATATTTAAAGAGGTAAATTTTCCAGCTGAAACTGAAAACACTAACTGCTTCAGCCGTGATGATCTGAGAAACCAGCATTTCTCACAGAGGTTCATTTTGCTGAGTTAACATTTTCATGTGTATGTTGAAAGAAAATTAGGTTCCAAGGAAGTAAAAAGGCCGTACAGAGCCAATGCCTTTGAAATAATAGTGCCAGGAATGGTCAAAACCAATGTGGCTTTCTGGAAGATGCTTTGGATGGCATCTGCATGTGTATGCCCCTGTCAAATGACTGCATACACTTTCCCAGTCTTCCTAGTTCACCTGTGTTATAAGGCAGCCATGTTTTGCTTTGTTTTATTTTGTTTTGTTTCGTTTTTGTTTGTTCTGCAAGCAGTAGAGCTGTCCCTGGCAGTGTGTGATCTGGAACACATCTAGTGTTAGATGTACATCAAAGGCAGCCTATGGGAGGAAAAGATGTGAAGATACTGTTCCTGCTAACTGCTAAGGTTGTATTGATAAGAGGAGTGGACAGGTTAACCTTGAGGAGGCAGCCTTAGGATGGCCCAGGTTCATGTTTAGTACAGTCTGGGAGCATAAACACTGCTTCCCTTTCTCTGCTTTAATCATAGCAGATTCCCAGAGCAAGGATTTGTTGCCCTCATCATTGATCATATGAGAACATGAGCAATTTCTTGTCCTATATTAGTGATACAGACTAGCAGGAGTAGTAAGGAAGTCAAAAGCATGCATAAAAAACACCTCTCTTTAGCTAGAAAACTAGTCAAGTGCTGCTTTTTAAAAGCGCGCAGCTGGCTTTCTTGTTTTGTATTTGAATATTTTAAATGTTTGCTTACTTAAAGCCTATTTTTATCCTATTTGTTTTTTTTTTTTTACCCTCTCTTGCAAGGAGAGCCCTAACCAATAACACTAAGAAATCTTGCTCACTGGCAAAATGCCCTTTGTCTCACACACCAAATAGCTTTGTTATCAGTATTTCTCAACAATGACACTTTTGACATTTGGGGATGGATGGTTCTGTCATGACTGTCCTGTGCCTTCAACAAAGTAAAACAACATCTCTGACCTCTGACTACCATATGTCAGTAATATCCTCATCCCACCCCCAATTATAACCACCAAAAATTTATCCAGACAATGTCCACAGCTCCCCTATAGGGCAAAATCAGCACCAGTTGAGATCTATTTGATGGCTGTCAAGGCCAAGCAAAAACCTTAGTTAATTACTACATAAATGCAACTTTTAAGTGATTTTATTTTCATTGAATTTTTCAATCATTAAAAAAAAATCTCTGAGACACAACTTTGATGCTAGCCCTGAAAAGCTCATTATAATGTCAATGTATCCTTGAACTCTTGTTCCTACTGAGCTTGCCTGCCAGTATAACTTCAAGATCGTAGTTATACCAATACTTGTATCGTAGGCAGATCATCAGACAGATACAGTACCACTGAGACAAACTACTCTCATTGTGAGGTAAGATCTTTCACTTAAAAAAAAAGTGTATAAAGTGCCCATAACATCATTTCCAGTTAGAAAAATGGGATATTTTGTTTTTTCTTTTGCAAGTTCTAAATTTCTGTAGGAAACTCTGGAAAAGATCCTAACCAGAGTAGTTAAACATGGTGCAATCAGATATATGTTTTGATAATCAGGAATCTGTTTAAGAAATATTCTCACTTATTGGAAAAATCTTTCCAATAAGCTAAATGTGCTATTTTCATTTTAGATGCTGCTTTTTAGAAAAGAACCTAGTAAATGAGAGTGATTAAGTTGAGAGCTAGAGAGTGAATTTTGGAGAACAACAATAGTTGTGACTCACTCACTTTCTAAACTTTTACACATAGTCATTTACGGTAGTTGTTTTCTTAGCAATATTTCTTCATAAGTCTCCCCCTTTCTGCAGTCCTAATTACGGTTAGCACTTTCATGGTTATCCTAATTTATGCAGTTAAAAGACTGTCACAATGAAACATCTCCCAAATGCTCTTATACCCTGAGAGACTGAATCAGAAGATCAGATCGAAGAAGTTACTGGAGCATACGATCAGCACACAGCACTCTTCATTGGCAGGCCTCTTCTCCCTGAGATACTCATGGATTTAATGATTCAAGATATGGACTCAAAAGACCTTATTGAAGGCAAAGACAAGACTCACTGAGGTCAAGGTACATAGGGATTGCATTAGGAAGGGCTGTTTTGACTACTACAGTAGCATTCCTCCATGCTGTCCCTGCAATCTAATTATTTCACTTTCTTTTTAGTTTGCTATTAAAGGAAGAACTCTGCTTCTTTGGGTATGTATCTATATTTGTTACATAAGAATAAAAAGAAAGTGCAGGAGCTTTCATGCCTCCAAGATTATTAAAATTTCACTAGCTGTTTATTATTCAAAATTGCTCCTAATACATGTTGTTAGTTTTGTCATTCTGTCTTAACATTAACTTAGGTATACTCTAAGAGATGCTTAAAGATAAACAGATACTTGATGCAGAACGTAATGGAGCTTCTTTTTTGATTGGTAAATGAATACCTGACAGAAATATAAATAAAAATTCTACCAATTATTAAATTCCTGAAATCATTAAAATTAATATAATGCTAAATTAATTATACTCCTGTTAAGCATATTACTAAATAACCATGCTACTGCCTTTCTTTTGGGGCTTGAAGATTTGCATCAAATATATTCTTAGAAATAAATTCAAATTATCTTACCTGTACATCATGTGGAGCTGGTAGAAAGTCAGGGTCCTAGAGCAAAAGAAAATTAGTTCTGAGTTACTTTTATAAATCAAAAGGATATTTTTATATGAACTGAAAAGTATAAAGTTTCATTGTGACAAGCATGGTCTTACCAAATCATTCACGTCATTTTTCAACTGATCAACAATGTCTATAAGTTGACGCATTCTAGTCATGTAACGATCTTGCCCTTGGGAGCTTGATTTATGGGCCACTGTCCCCAAAAAGATGACCATCAGACAGATGACTATCCTCTCCATGTTGCCAGCACTGGATGTCATAGGCCAGTAGTGGAGCAAAACCTTGAGCTTGTTTTTGCTTCAGTTTGAGTGTGACCAGGTTGTCAGAAAAGCTACCTATTTATTCATCCTTCAAGGAGAAGTAAAGCCCTCCCATTGCAGCCTGGAAATCTTTGTAAAATGGATGAATGTGAGTAACCCTTTTTTCTTTTCCACTGGCTAGGTATACGTGTGCATGTGCTAAGTGTGGGGGCAGGGATTGATGGAGTCAACGAAATATGCCCCGTCTGCACCTTAGACAGGAAAAAGAGAGAAATGGGTGAATTCCAATTTTCAACTTGAATCAAGAAGTATGTGTGGTAAACAGTAGGTACTACAAGACTTCAAAGAAGTAAACAAAAACACTTTGATGTGTCTTTCTTTGCATCTCTTGGCATCTTACCTGATCTTTCTGATAGTCATAAGGGCACTTCAATAATGAGTAAAGTGGCAACAACTTCTTGTAGATTTTTTTCTGATAGTAATGACTGTATCTTTTGACTGAAGTCATCCAGCATTCCATCGTAAAGGTAGGAGGAAAGACTACCTTTCAGGAAATTTTGAATAGAGAGTGTTTTCCTAACTAGGATTTTAGGTTCTTGCTAGGTTTCAAGGGCTTAAATAGACTTTGCTCTCAACTTACCAAAGCATCTGTAAATAAAATTGCTGTTGGCTTTTGACATTTCATTAACAGTCTGATTTGTAAATAACGTACAGGACTCAAAAAGTTTTTACAGAAAATTCATCCCCCCATTAAGATCTCCCTCTACCTTCATTAAAAAGCAAAGAAAATTTTCTGATATTTCCTCTCTTCTATATAATGTGTCATTTAAATGAATAAAAAATGTTAAAGTTCATTCTTCCCCCAAAGCAAAAAATATTTTGAAATAACAGAATTTGAAAATAAAACATGTTTGATTATTTTTCCCCTAGGGTAATATAATTTATTTTTGTTGCATATGATTCCTTTGGGTCTGAGCAATGCATTTCTAATTGCACCTATGACCAGGCAGAACTTAATGCAGTTCTAAAAACTCCAGAAGCTGTCTCATCATTCTCTTTTCTGCTTCTCTTATCCCTATTATTCTTTACCCATTTGAGAAAGTTGGATATACTATTTTAGCCAGGAAATGTACCACATTTAGAGTTAATAAATAAAATTCTTACCATAAGTTTTATTTATTAATTTATTTTTCATCTCTTCCATTATATGCTTACAGCTATCCTTTACTCTAGAACTTTATTTAGCCAAGATAAATTAGGGTTTAGACTTATTTGCTGTGAAAATTGTAACCTTTTCTCATAAAATATCAACTTAAGAGTTTATAGATTTGGTCTCATACCTTAGATAAGAACTCTTCTAATGGGATCAAGACGTTGTCCCCATGAGCACTAAATTCTATAGGAGAGAACTGTTTGCAAATCTATGAATGCATTTAATCATTGCCCGTTGGCACCTCAATGTTACCTGCAAGGACTTTATACCTATTCTTTTATCTACCTAAATAGATGTACATCTATTTGAAGACACTAACCACAGTGGTTAAGAGCTCAACCTCTAAAGAAAGCACTTGAGTTCAAACCCAGGCACCAACAACTAATTACGTATATGAGCCAACAATACATGTTATTATAAAGAAAGATAACTATAGACCACAATCATGAAGTTTGGATGAAACTTAAAATTAAATATTTCAAGAAAAAAGGGCTAGGTACACCATGCAATAAAATCCCAGGAGATTTGCATGCTGACTCTGGCTGAGACTGGAGAGAACTTGAAGACGCCTAAAGAAGCTACACTGACCCATGGAAGTAAGAACACAAAAGGGTTGGTGTTTAGCCAAATGCATGAGGGTGGCTGTACCAGTGGTATAAAAGCTGAAGGTTTTTTGTGTTGCTTAGAGAACCGCTGAGATCAGCTCTCATGCCTCCCCATGATGCCAGATGTCCAAGATGCTCCCTGAGATCCTTCATCTATATATTACGCATCACCCAGCACATCAGCAACCTCCAAAGCCGTGGTCCAGCCATGTGGCCTTACAGACCAAGAGTTCTTGCCTGAGAAGTATATCGATTATTAAACATTTTAAAGAATATCCCTGGTGTGAGAGGCTAAACAATGACCTCCCGCAAAATGTCTACATCCTGATCCTTTGGAACCTGTGAATATCTCTCCTTACATAACAAAAAGATTCTGCAGGTGTGACGAGGTGAAGTTATTCTGCTTTAACCAAGAGGCCCATTGTACTCTCAAGGTTCCTTGGAAGAGGAAGGTAAGAGGGTGAAAATCAAAAAAGATGTGATGACTTAAGCAGAGCTTAGAGTGAAGTGAGGTCAGAAGCACAAACGACAGGTGGCTTCTAGAAGCGAGAGGAGGCAAGGAACAGATTCTGTCTGCTATGGTCACCAGAAAACACAGCCTTGCCCATGCCCCACCAGCCAGCCCAAAAAGCTTATGTTGCGATTGTGATCTTCAGAACTGTAAGATGACTAATTGCAGTTTTTAAAGACACTTCATTTACAGTACTTTGTTAAAGTAGCGAGAGTAACATACCTGGATTTGGAATCTTTACTCTTGGGAAAAAAAATGACAGAATGGAAAATAGAGGAAGGGGTGATGAGAGAGGCAACAAATGCTGGAATTTGTTTGTGCTTTGGTGATACAGAAAGAGGAAGTATGAAGAAAAGTTTAGTATGGCTGCAATGTAGGATGAAACTTGAGAGATAAAAAGGTGTAACAAGGACTTTTCAGGAAGTTTGTGTGTGTGTGTGTGTGTGTGTGTGTGTGTGTGGTAGCAACTTCTCTCAACCCTGAGAAGCCTTCACTGCTTTCACTCAGGATTGGCATGATGTTTCAAAGTTATGAAGCCCAGTTTACCTTTATCTGAATTTATCACTATGTCAAATTGGTCCCTCACATGGGTGCAAAGCACTCAGATTTCCTTGAGTCATATAGACAAAGCAGGCTCTTCTATGCTGAGAAATAGTAATCTTATTGCTATTTTTACAACCTTGTTTCACTGTGGTCTTAATGGCATTTAATCTTTAAATTATAGTCAGTTTTAAAATCTCGATACAGTCAGCCCTACTCAAATGCTTGTTTAGAAAATAAGAACAATGAGTATAACAAGAATTTTACATTTTTTCATCTGCAGTTTCATCTCCAAGAAATGTTAGATGAATTCAGAAAATTCTCTTCTGCTCAAATGAGCCATATAAATGCACAAAATTCGCAGCGGACTGAGCTCACATTGTGGATGATGAATCAAATGTAGCCAAGTCTGGCAACGTGATTTTACATCACTACTTTGATACTTCTCAATAACTCACAAGCTGCAGTCCTTCTAACATTCACTTCTATGAGAAAACCTCAGGTACCCTTAACCTCATTTTCTCTCTAAGCCTGTGGTTTCGTATTGTGTGATATTGTACAGTATACGGATTTCTAGAAACATGTCACATTATAGCAGAACTGATGGTATTTTACCTGCCAGGGTCGCATTTAAGCCTCATCACCAACTAGTTATATTCAGCTCAAAAATCAAGACTAAAATGTAGAATTCAAGATAGAAGAAAAAAAGGAGGATGCAGAGGAAAGGAAGAGAACATTGTGTAATATCTTCTTCCTTTTGATACAAGGCCCATCTGTGCCTGGTTATCTAACACTTCTGGTGTTTACTCTTGCCTTGGCCCTTTCCCACAACATAGGGTGCTTCACCTGTAGTCTGTTTTCCCCCAGCATCCTATCAATATACATCAGGTGTTCTGGAACTTCCAGACAATTTATATGCAAACTTTTGTGCTTCTGTTTTGGGGTGAAAGAAAGCTGAAATTTATCAGATTCTCAAGGGAAATCTCATGCAGTTGCTGTTTTTATCTTCCAATCCCCAGGGTCCTCGGTGAAGAATCACATGATCATGCTTCTTCAGCATGAGCTCGGGGGTGTAACTTGGAAATGTCTACATAGGAGAAGCCATGCTGGTGTGACAAATGCACTGCTTGGACTTAACTCCAAGGTTGACTTGGGACTTTAGAGCGAGGTGATGACTTACTACATGTGTTCTCTCCAGGATTAAATAATTTTCTTTTGTGGACTGTGCCTGTGGAACATCTGGTCAGAACAGAAGCATGGCCAGGAGGCTGAAGGGAAGCTGAATAAAAGCTGAAGGTGAGAGCAGCTTATGGAAGGCATTGAGGTCTGGAAGAGAATAGTTGTGCCTAAGGAAACCCACACAGGCCTAACATTGTGCTGCATATCATTTGTTCCAGACCCTATATGCCCTGTATTCTTAGCTCTTCCTCGGGACCACTGTGTGTCCAACATGCCCTTTCTGCTTGCACCTGCTTTGGCCTCCATGGGGATAATTAGATAGTCTTCATGGAAAACTCTGGGAAGAGGGCCTCTGTTTTGAGGGATATTTAGTTACATGTACCCCTTCTGCCCGCTACAAGTATTTGGATGGGTAGCTTACCTCTGGGCTGGTTTAAAGCTTGTAGAAATCTACATTTAACTGGAAGAAAAAATCCTCTATGATATTTCACAGCAACTGTATACTTTCCAACAGTGTTCAAATAGAAGTTGAAAATATCTTAATTTCTTTTTATTATGGGAGAAAAATCAAGAAACAAAGTCCTCACAGAGTTTCTAACATCTTCTCTGTACTCCTGCCTTGAACACTCCCCTATTATACTGTTTTCTTTTTCCTCTGACTTCAGTGCATTTATTATATCATCAATTTGATTTCCTTTATATAACATATGCGTAACATTATATGTGTACAACCCACATTTTCATAATGACAATTTCTTCTAGAATTCTATTGACTCCAAATCACTGCTGCACATACTCATGACAATATTTCTTTCCATAATAATATTTCCATCCTCTCTATCAGGATAATTTCAAGAAGGCCACAAGGACTTATGTGGATCAAAGGGCCAGTGTTGGTCACTGTGGTCCAGAGTATGGCCACTGTGTTGTAACTCATGTGTAGTCTCTTTGGTATCACTGACGGTCCTGGGGTCAGGTGTCCAGGGTGTTGCAGCTCATCCTGCTGATGGCTTTTCTGGTAGAATGGGAACCTATATTCTGGTAGTCATTTCTAACAGATCACTCTCTGATCCTGCATGCCCAGGATCTTAGGAGACTGGTCTTTGAGCTCACAGCCATGGTCATGTCTAAAGGCACACTCCTGCTGCTGATGTGCGGGTCTCAAAGATTTCCAGCAGTTACAACATTGCCCTCTCCCCAGGTCTTGAATCTGACATTCCCAGTCCTATCCTGTGACACTCATCATTGAGGCTAGAGATCAGATGTGACTTAGTCTAAGGTCACCAGGCACATAGGATGATTAGAAAAAAGTGGAGGGCCCACACTGTTCAACCTGATTCCACTTGATTTCCACACTACAAGTTGAGAGAGCATCTATCAGCCTGTCCTGGCTGCCTGTTTAAGTCAGAGAAATTCTGCTCTCTGCCTCAAGAACTGCCTCTGTTGCCTTCTTTGGTGTGATGGGTGACTGTAACTGCTTCTCTCTTTTTTTTTTTTTTTTTTTTTTTGATCCTCTAGCAGACTCTAATGATACAGTCACAAAAATAAAGCAGTACAATATTAGCCCCATGGTATCTTCTTTTTTTTTTTTAAAGATTTATTTTAAATTTTTACTGAAAAGTCAGATACAAAGAGAGGAGGGAAACAGAGAGGAAGATCTTCCATTCATTTATTCACTCCCGAAGCAGCCACAATGCCAGAGCTGCACCAATCCAAAGCCGGGAGCCAGGAGCCTCTTCTGGGTCTCCTGTGCTGATGCAGAGTCCCATGGCCTTGGGCTGTCCTCTACTGCTTTCCCAGGCCACAAGCGGGGAGCTGGATAGGAAGCAGGGTTGCCAGGATACGAACCTGTGCCTATATGGGATCATGCTATATGCAAGGCGAGGACTTGAGCTGCAAGGCCACTACACTGGGTATGGTATCTTCTTTTTTAAGTTATCTATTGAGCCTGCACTAATCCCCAGTATAAGAACCTTCTGCCTGGGTTTTCCCAAGCAGCGGCACTGTGATGTTAAAGAGATTATAGACAGATATGGCTGTATTTGCTTTTTTTTCATATAACAAAGCACCAGAAAGAATCTACTTCCAAAAGAAGGAAGTTTATTTTGGCTCAGAGCTGTAGAGGCTAACAGGCCTGTATCAGGCATTCACACTGGTTTGGTCATCTGGTGAAGCCAGAGAATGGCGGTGGTAGAGCATCTGTGGAGGGGTGATCACACTGGGAGCAAGGAAACAGCAAGCTCAGGCTATTGTAACTAATCCTCTCACAAGAACTACCTTCCTAGGGCACCCGGTGACCTAGAGACCTCTCATTTGGTCCACCTCATAAACACCAGAATGATACTAAGCTTCTGCCTCCTCAGTGCCATCTACTTGTAATTTTGGGGTAACAAGGGATATTGTAGTGCAGAAGATTAAATTGCTGCTTGGCATGCTGGAATCTCGTGTCAGACACCTGGCTCAAGTCCATGCTGTTCTGTTCTTTCAATTCCATCTCCTGAGAATGCACCCACAGGCAGTGGATGGTGGTTGAAGCACATACAATCTTGCCATGCGCATGGGAGACCCAGATGAAACTCTTAACTGCTGGCTTCAGTTTGGCCTAGTTTCAGCTGTTGTGGGCATTTAGCAGATGGAAAATCACTTTCTCTTTTTTTGTTTCTTTCTTGCTGTCTGTTATTGTGCTTTTCAAATAAATAAATCTTTCTAAAAAAAAATAAAGTTTAGCACAAGTTTGAAAGCCGTATTCTATTCAAATCATAGCAGTGACCCACATTCAGAACTAAGTATTTCTATTTCTTTGAATGAAAATTCTTTTGGCCAACAATTGCTATTTGTTCTTTTACTGACAAAAGAAATACAAAGATCATGAAATAAAAACAATCTAAAAACATTTGGTAGGTAAGTTAAAACTACATGAAACAAACATTACTCTCTTTTCTTCCCTAAATTCATTTCCCATGAATACTCTTGAGAGTTTATTACATGTCATTTGGACTATTTTCCTTTCACATGAATAAAGAAATATATAAAAGAAATATTATGCATGTTGAAGGAAAGATAATTATGTATCTAAACAGAGACATAAAAAGTAGAGACACATATACATAGAAAATGTGGGAATTTTACAAAAATTTAATTTTACCATTACATTATTCTATAGTATTCCTTTTCATTTAGCCTATCAGGAACAGCCAGCTGACCAGTATTCATTCAAAGGAATAACTCTCTGTAATAACTGGCTAAATATTCATTATTTAACTATACCATAACCTATGCATTCATAACTCTATTATTGATAAACATTTACATTGCTGATTATTTTCATGTCACAAACATTATTAGGCATATATTACATATGTCTATATATACACACACATATATCCAACAATGTCTGAAATATATTTAAGGATTATATCTAAAGATGTGTAATCTGAATTGCATGTTGTTAGTGGAAGGAATGATTCTTTAAAATTTTTTATAGAAACTGTTGGATTTTCCTCTGGCGTGTCACTTCAATGTATACTCCGACAATAATTCAGAGAATCCTTACATTCTTTTCTCATTACTTTAGATTATGAATATTTCAAACATTGGCCTGTATACCAGAACAAAAACAGTATCTTGTCATGGCGTCTTTCTTTGCTCGATAGTTGCATCTGGTGTCTTTTCCTGAGTGTATTTCATTTCTGTTAACTGCCTTGTTATTCCATATTTTCTGTTGTTTCTTGTTTTCCTGTGCTGGGCTTTGGTTACAGTTCAAGTGTGTCCTCCAAGTGTGTTGAAATTTTACTCCCATTTCAGAACATAAAGTAGAAACAGTCTGGTTATGGTGTTTAAGGTAGTACATTTTGGAGGTGATTAAGACTAGAAAAGAACATCAGGGTTGAGCCCCTATGAATGAATATTGGTGGCTTTAGAAGAAAAAGAACAGAACACTTTCTCTCTCTCTCTCCCTCTCTCTCTCTCTCATACACACACTCCTTGTCTCTTGCCATGTAAAAGTCCTGCATCATCTGTGGACTCTGCTAACAAAGCCATCACCACATGCAGGCTCTCAACCTTAGGCCAGAGTCATAGGCCCAAACAAACCTTTTTTCTTTATAAACCATTGCAGACACAAGTATTTCATTATAGTAACAACAGCAACAAAATGTGACAGAAAATTTGTCCCAAGAGTGGGATTGTTGCTAATAGCAAATTCTTGAGCATGGAAAAGATTTTAGACTGGGTGACAGGCAGAGGTTACAATATTTGGAGGAATCTTTTAAAAATCTTATAAAAATATTATAAAAAGCTGGTAAGCAGAGCATTGTGGGCAATTCCGATGAGGGATCAGAAGACGAGACCAGTTTCAGATGAAAATGAGAATTTTATCAGAAAATAGGCTAAAGGCCAATATTGCTACACTGTGGCAAAGAAGTTGGCTGCACTGTGTCCATGCTGCCAGAATTTGAGGAAGAACCAAATTAAGAATGAGGGACTGGGGTCAGTGTTGTAACACAGCAAGTCACGCCATGGTCTGTAGTACTCAGATCCCATATAAGTGCTCATTCATGTCCCAGTTGCCGCACTTCTGATTCAGCTCCCTGTTAATGTGCCTGGGAAGGCAGCAGAAGATAGGCAAAGTGTCTGGGACCCTGCTATCCCCTGGGAGCCCAGATGGAGTTCCTGGTTTCTGGTTTCAGCCTGGTCCAACTCTGGCTGTTGTGAACATTTGGAGAGTGAACCAGCAGGTGAAAGATTCTATGTCTCTCTCTCTCTCCTTCTCTCTTTCTCTCTCTATCTCTAATTGCCTTTCAAATAAGTAAATAAAAGTTTACTTTTTTAAAATAAAAATTTACTGGGTATTACATTTTAACACACGAATCCATGTGTATATTTTACATATATTATTTATTGCATTTAATTTTATAACAACGTTTCATAGGCTCTGGTGTTTCCCCTTCCTCTCCCCTTGCCCTCCCCCCATGGTGGGTTGCTCCACCTTATTGCAGTATTACAGTTCAAATCTAGTCTTGTTTCTCTCAGTGCAAGTATGTGCCTTGCATAGTGTCCAGTATCTTATTGCCCAGCTGAATTCAACAGTTTCTTGAGGAGACCAATTCTGGCCTGGAGACATAGCTGGCAGATTATCGTTCCGACCAATTAAATGCCATAACATAACATCAACAACAGTTTCTAACATTATGGGGTTAATTACAATGTAATACTACATTTCAAAGGTACCCTCTTACAAATTGACAGCATTCCAACTTAAATTAAGGCAAACATGTGGTATCTGACCTTTTAGGATTGACTCATTTCCCAAATTTACTTTTTTAAAATAAAAATTTAAAAAATAAAGCACAGTGAGAAATTTCAAAACAGCAAAGCGTACAAAGTGTAGCAAAAACATTGTTGGCCAATTTTAGTCATATTTCTAGAGTCAAGAAAAAAAGGGGAAGCAAAGAAGAAAGATTTGAAGATATTAAAAAATTCAGTTTAGCTATGGAAGAAGTAAAAAAAAAAAAAAGGCAAGTTAGGGTTCTGCTGAAAAGGTACTTGCTAAAAAGAATATTGCAAATTAAAGGGAGCCAGTTGCTTTGCATTAGGACAATTGTAAAAGGACACTTCAGAAATCTTCAAGACTCCTCCCCTTACCCCATCACAGACACAGAGACCTTCCAAGGGTAAAATTGTTTCACACAAAGAACCTTAGGCTGCCTTATCCTTTTTGACAGCCCAGGGCTACTAGGGGATTTATTTCTATGCTATTAGCTGGTTAAGTACTGCACAACTAGACCCTTAGTTCAAGCAAGCCCAGCTGCCAGTGGCAGACTTTGACATCCATATATGTTCTGATTGGTGTGCAGATTGTTAAGACTTGTAGTGACTTCACATATTTCTAAGAAAAGTCTATGAGACTGGTGAGAAGCTTGCCATAGATTCAAAGAGGGCAATGCCTACTGGACATGTGAGAGGAGAGCTCCAACAAGAGCCCCAGAAAGGCCCAGCTACCAGCAATGTGCTGTGTTCATTGAGGAAGGCCACAGACAGTGGGACAAACTAGCCCAATGTGATACCAGCAAAGCCATAGGAGGAAGGCCACCTGAGGTCTTGGAAGCCCATCTCCTGCTGCAGTGTACACGGAATGCCAGGCTTCTGGTTTTAGAATTTAATGTCTGCCCTGCTAGGTTTGGGGCCTGTGTTGAGCTGATTGCTTCTTTCTGTTTATTTCTTCCATTTGGAATAGGAATATTTAACCTGTATACCTGTCCTGCCAATGTTGCTTGGAATTATGTATCAAGGAGGTTGCCTTGAGTCTCAGATAAAACCTCACACTTTGGACTTTGGAAGAAGTTCTAGCTTTAGGATTGTTGAGGGTGATGTGATTGTATTTTGCATTGTCAGAATGACGTGAACTTTAGGGAACAAGAGTGTCATGCTTTGATTTGGCTATAGTTTGAACGTGTCCTCCATGGATTCGTGTGTTAAAATGTAATACCCAGGGCCCAGTGTGGTGGCCCAGCAATTGATCCTCATCTCATATGTTCTGATTTCTCATATGGGCATCACTTTGTGTCCCAGACACTCTACTTCCCATCTAACTCCCTGCTTGTGGCCTGGGCAAGCAGTAGAAGATGACCCAATGCCTCTGGACCCTGCACCCACATAGGAGACCCAGAAGTAGTTCCTGGCTCCTGGCTTTGGATCAGTTCAACTGTGGCCATTGTGGCCGTTGGGGAGTGAGCAAGCAGATGGAAAATTTTTCTCCCTGTCTCTCCTCCTCTCTGTAAATCTGCCTTTCAAATAAATAAATAAATCTTTTTGAAAAATGCAGTGCCCATTTTGAGATGGAAAGGTGGTAGAAACTGAATCTGACTATGGTATTTAGGCATTGGTCGTTGGAAAGATTACCAGAATTAGATGAGGTCATCAGAGTTAAGCCCTCTCAATTAACTACTGGTGGCTATAAAAAGAAAGAGACAGAATAGACACACATGCACACTCCCTGCCTCTTACCATGTGATGCTCTTGGGCTTTTAGTGCTTTGGCAGCAAGAGTGTCATCAATAGAAGACCTTACGCTTGCACGAGAGCCATGGCCAAAGCAGATATTTTCAAGTTACTCAGTCTTGGGTATTTAATTATAGTAATGAAAAAGTAAGTAATATAACTTGTAAGGGTTCTTTTGCTATTAAAGATACATTAAACATATTGAAATTATTTTCCTTATGCTATTTTTGGCTCAAAAGAGATTTTAATTTTTATAACTGAGAATCTTCTGTTTTATGGGATAGATTCCAGTTTAATATAAAAATTCTCATTTTGAAAGCAATAAATGGTAGCACTTGGTTTTAGTGTTCTTTTGATTTAAGGATTCCAATGTCAGGGACAATAATGAATTCCAGAGTACTTTTTAATGAATTCGTATTTAATTGATCACAAGATTAGCTATTTTAAAAAATGCAATAATACATTGATATTGACATTTGGCTTAGCAGTTAACATGTCAGTTAGGATTCCTGCATCCCATATCAGAATTCCTAGGCTGGAGTCTTGGCTGTGCCCCTGATTCCATCTTTCTGCTAATGTATACCTTGAAAGAGGATGAGTAGAGTGTTCCAGAAGTTGAATCCCTACTGCATGGGTGGGAGGTCTGCATTGAATTCCTGGCTGTGATGATCAGGTTTGGGCCTGACACACAGTTCTCTCACTCTGTCTCTCTGACTCTCAAATATATAAATAAAATTAAAATTAAAGAGATTTTGAAAATAGTAACAAAAGTGCAGTTAAATGTGATTTGCTCTATTTATAGAAATGTCCTATATATTAGAGAATTCAAATCATTAGATTCCCCAAACACCATTGTTTTAGAATATAGAATGGATAAAATGTACTTCTCAAATTACTATTGCATATAAATACAATCATCTGAAATACCCAGGGGAACAAAGTGTCACAGAATCCTAAAATGCATGTAAACCATTATAAATCACTTATACTGTTACAGTCTTAGTGTTAAATGATTTATTTTGCTTGGATTCTTTAAATCTTTATTCTCCTTGAGCTGTATACGTGGTAGTTCTACAAATCAAGACAGGAAAACACAAACAATGAAATTTGTCCAATGAGCTTAAACGTTACCCTGAAATCAGCCTTTAAACTCAGAAATACTTTTACCTAATAGACTTCTTTCCCTCTGTCAAAGGGGGATTAAAAGACTCTTTCTGAGAAAAATAGCCTTTACCAATCAAAATGTTATTAATGTTAATAACTTCTAGCAAACACTTTGATGTCTATTTTCTAAACATTATCTCATCTACAGCAACAACGTGAGAATTAACTAATTTTCATATCCCTTTTTACAGATGAGGAAGCCAAAGCACAGAACAGTGAAATAACAAGCTGGAGTGACTGGAGGAGCTGCCTGCCTGGGTCTGACTGCTTCTCTCATGATAGGAACCCACCTCCACTGCTGCCATCATTGGATTCCAGGAGTACAGCTTATGCTGCTCATGGCACCCCATAAAGGGGCTCACCCCCAGTAGAGATGTTTCTGATACATGGATTTGGGGTAAGGAGATAGGTCCTTCTGAAAAACTGTTTTTGGTGGCACCCAGAATTCGAATGTGTATCTTGTCTGTGTTAAATAATCAGTTTCTAGTCTCAACTGAAACGTCCAATTGACTCTCTTGTATTGACTTTATCCAGTGACAACTTTTCTGGTATAAGAATTAATTTTAAAAAGGGGGGTGGGGTGGGCAGCATGATAGCCTAGTAGCTAAATCCTTACCTTCCATCTGCCAGAATCTCATAAGGGCACCAGCTCATGTCCCAGCTGCTCCACTTCTCATCCAGCTCCCTGCTTGTAGTTTGGGAAAGCAGTAGAGGGCAGCCCAAAGCCTTGGGATCCTGTACTCGCATGTTGAAGACCTGGAAGAAGCTCCTGGCTGCAGACCAGCTCAGCTTCAGCCACTGTAGCTGCCTGGGGAGTGAACCAGAGTATGGAAGATCTTTGTCTCTGTATCTCCTTCTCTATATATATCTACCTCTCCAAGAAAAAATAGAATAAATCTTTAAAAATTAATAACAAATATCAAGCATCTGATAGCCTTAAAATGAGAAAGAAATGCGTTAACTTCTAAAATCATTTTTTTCCATAACACAAACAAAACCTTTCAGAAAATCAATTATCTTGAGAACCTAGAAGACAAAAAATGTGGTTTATTTACATTTATTTAGTCAGTTGATTATTTTCTGTATTTTTTCAATGCTTTTCATGATGATAAAAACACTTAATTTTTGCTCTAGTTGCTTCTCGGAAATTTAAAATACACATTAAGGGAGGAAACTAGTGCAGAGAAAGAAAGAAAAATGAGAAGGACAAAAGAAACCTGCTTATAAAAAGAATCCATTCAAAGTATCTGCCACCAGTATGTGCAGTGTGTAGACACCTTAATGACATGGCAGGGATGAAAGAGTTTCTGACCTTTGACTTGATTTATCCAGCTCTCACAACCACTACTCTAATTATTGGGGTGTGAGGAGAATACATTCACGGAACACTGAAGCCTTAGAAGTAAAAGGATTGGGGAGCACTAGAGGCCATCAAAGATCGCTGAGCTCAACTACCAACACACAGAGCCTCCCATGGAACACAGAACTGAGGACAGCCCTGGAGGTCCAGTTCCCTTCTCCCTCTCTCTCCACATCTCTACCCTCCTTTCTTTGTTTGATCATTCACTTCAGATTTATTCTCCTCTTTCCTTTCCCATGCTTTGTTTTCTTCCATCCCAGTCTGTTTCTTATTCACATATTTATACTGTGAGACCAAAGCTTATTTTAATTGCAGTTGAAGCTTTCTAGCCCCTGCCTTAAATGTTTAGTCCAAGTAGGATTACTTGAACGTTAACATTTTCTTTAACTAGTAGAGAAAGTCTCTGTTAAATGCTATGTAGTGGGAAGTCTTTGTTGTTTTCTTTTGCCCTCTTGTGAATCAACAATTGTTTTGAAATCACTTTTTTCTTTATACAAAAGTACCACTATTACCTTCTGCTGGTTTCAGAAACGTAAGTTAAGGGAAACTCTAAAGAGGCAATTCTGCTTAGTTTCTAGAGAAAGGTTGACTTGGGAATATCTTATGTCTCTTTTGTGAGAGGAAAGGAGAGATTTTATTTCAGAAAGCTAACTTCATTACAAACTTTTCTCTGTGTTTTAAGATCTCTTGTGTTCAAAGCTCTCTGAGTTAGTTGCCCCTGTTATTAACCTTTGTGAGAACTACCCTGCAGTTAGCTCCTATATTGCACATAGTACATACCAAATCAGAGTCCCTCTCATACACAGAAGCCCAGGAGGAATCACTAGGGAGTAAACTCTCATGTAATATTATGTGGGATACCAATTGGAATACTTCTATATTCATGTATCTGCTAAATTTTATGTAGGTCATCCAGGAAAAGAAGGCTCTGTGGTTTGTTTTGTTTTCTATGAATTAGTAATTGGTCTACAGGAATGGCTGAGTTGAATTCATTTGGGGTAAGAGGCTTCATGAGTTGGAGTTCAAGGAAGAGTTTCAAGGGAAAGACACTGGAATAGAGTTCTAGAGAGAAGAAAGCCTTGTGTGGAATAAAGAGTTCAGCTTGCTTGCTGTTGTGTCCTCTGAGAGCATTAAGCTGGATGTGGGATCGGTAATGAGATGAGTTCATAAAAATGGAAGTACGGCCTCAGTTATATGCAATGGGTTCAAAACCAAAGGGAAGGAAAGTAGGAGAAGTGTACTGAAAGTGTGTTCAGTGCACTGTGCACTGAAGGTAGGTATTGACTAAGTCTACAGGTAAGTGATCCATGGTAAGATTTGGAGCAATTACTTGACAAACACTGATAGAGCTTTAGGAGTTTCACTCTCTTACTGTGATGACAAGGTGATGTTACTGCTCTAAAAAGTCTTGGAGGAGCTTCCTTGCAGGAAAAGGGAAAGGAAGATGAGCAGTTTTCCAGGTCCTTCCACCCCTGTATTAATGAGAGCAAATCCTCTTTTATCTGTTGTTCACATTGGATCCTTTGTGAGACTTCATTTGCAACAAAATGTTTCTTCAGGATAAAAGGGAAAGCTTTGTGGTGCTGTGAGTAAAGCAACTGCCTAAAGTGTCAGCATCCACTGTCCTGACTGCTCCACTTCCAGTCCAACTCCCTTCCAATGTCCTGAGAAAACAACAAAAGATGGCACAAGCATGTGGGTCCCTACACACATGGAAGATCCAGATGAAAGCTCCTGGCTTCAGCCTGGCTCCGCCCTGGCTGTTAAGGCCGTTTGAGGAGTAAACCAGTGGATGAAAGATATGTCTGTCTCTCCCTCACTCTGTAACCCTGACTTTCCAACAAATTAATCCTTTTTAAAAAATGTTTCCCTTGTAGAATAAAAATGTTTTGAAGTGACAAAGACAAATTAAAATTCACTCAAGTACAGTAAACTACTTAATCTTTATATTTGTGAAGTAACTACTATTGCCATCCGTTTTACAAAAAACTAAGGCAAAAAGAATATAAGAAAATTTGCGAAGGTCATACTTCTAAGTGGTGATCTGATAATGACTACTAAGATGCTAGGATTGCGAGTGAGCCGCTGAGGGGGTGACTGGACTGACTGCTGTCAGCATTGGGAATGTGCATGCTTCCCTATGGCATCTGTGATGAGAAGAGAAACAAACCACCACATCATGTAGAATTATGTGTACCTTGTTGAGAACAGGAAGCTCGAGACTCACAGTTCTGCACATTTCATCAACTCTGCCTACCTGACTTCATTATTCTCAATAAAGACCATTTTTCCTTAAATAATAGAACACATACAAGTCCATTCAAACTGTTTCTTGAATCATTAGGGGAATCAGAAAATGTTAATTTGCTGCCCTTTCTTCAAAATTAAAAACAAACAAAAAGCTTTCTTGTAATTCTTGTGATAGTGGTGCAGTCACTCTGTTAAATTTCTTTGCCAAATAGGAGTATAAGCTTTGGGGGAATCCTGGAGTTTGAACTTTTACTATCCCAGTTGATTTCTAGGCAGAAATGTAATATTTAAAACAGTTTTCCTAACTGCATAACAAATAAGATAATGTATTTTGGACAAAGCAGGACTATGATAATATTTTAAGATCACTAAAATACCACGGTGGAGAGGTGAACAGAAAGTAAATTCATAGCTAAAGTCAGGTGTAAAATATATTGGTTGTTAGAAACATGATTAAGAACAAGAGCAACAGGGGAGCTTGGTGTACTTCCGCTTTGTGTGAGTATGAGGTGGGGAAAATACACGGTTTCCCTGTCACCTACAGTGAGCAAATGGGCAAGCGACTTGTCTTCAGTATACGTCACCCAGGAGGTCTGTGGGTTAGGAACATATGGAGTCAATTTGTTACTTGAGAATTGACATCACCTTGATAGTGGACTTCCCCAAAAATGGAATTCTAAGCAAAGTCATATCCCTACCTGGGGAGGTCTGAGATTTCCTTTTTCCCCTGTGTCTGACAGTCCAAATCTAACGTGTAAGACGCGAAGCCGACCTCACTCCCTCCACCCACATTTTCCTTGACATAACAACAGAAGAGATTTTCCCTAAGGCTTACTCAACTGGCAGTTTAAGTAGCATTCTGAAAATTAGGAGGTAAGGTGACAAAACTGCTTTCAAGGAATTTTCTTTAACTGTAAGTTAAGAACTCTTTAACTCATTCAGCATGTAAGATAGAAATATACCAATCTGAGAGAGAAAATGACTAATTATTCAAATTAATTACTAGGAAGCATTACATCATCAGAAAACATTTATTGTGCTTGTGTGTGTTTGGTATTTCTCTAGATGGTATCAGATCACTGCTCAGTTGGAGACCCAAGTAAAACTATAATCGCATATGTGCTTGAGAAAATGAAAGCATACAACAGGCCTTTATGTGTGAAGTGACACTAAGTCATGAGCAGACCAAGAGATATTTCTGATTTTTTTTTTAGTCACACTGAGTTTTCTTCATGTAATATCTCTCATGGATTTATTGCTGGTGACCCATATCCTGATTTTTATTAGCAAGAGGTGCTAGCATGGTCATTAATTATAAAATACTTTTATAAAGATTTATTTATTTTTGTTGGAAAAGCAGATTTACAGAAAGAGGAGGAGAAACAGAAAAAGATCTTCCATCACTGGTTCACTCCTCAAATGGCTGCAACAACTGGAGCTAAGCTGATCCAACGCCAGGAGCTTCTTCCAGGTCTCCCATGCGGGTGCAGGGTACCAAGGCTTTGGGCCATCCTCCACTTCTTTCCTAGGCCACCAGCAGGGAACTGGATGGGAAGTGGAGCATCTGGAACATGAAATGCTGGCCATATGTGATCCCGGTGCATTAAAAGCAAGGATTTAGCCACTGAGACATCATGCCAGCCCTATAACATAGGTTTTAAAAACATTTATTTATTCAAAAGACAGAATGACAGAGAGAAGACAGAATGAATCTTCATTTGCTGTTTTATTCCCCAAATGTTGGTTAGTCAGGATTAAGCCATGCTGAAGCTTGAAGCCAGGATATT